ATTTTGTGATTCAATTACGGTAAATATAGTTTTGCAAATACACCATCAATATCCAAATTCAAATGAAGAGCATGTTTCACTTGTGAAAAAAATCTTTCAACAGAAACGGAAGTAGAAAAGTAGTAAGTAAAATCTTTTCTATTTCTACAAGTTTTGGATAATTTTTCTTCTCCATTATAGGATAAACATCCAAAAGGTTATAACTTCTTGCATATCCTGTTTTTTGATCAATTCAATGTCAAATTTTGACCTTAAGTAATTACCTTTTGATTCTGATTTGATCAAATCCAAATTACTTTCAATAAGAGATTCCAATTTTTCAAGTTCTTTTTTGGTATCTTCAAATTCTTTGGGTATTGTAGAATCACTTTTTTTTCAAGTGTGTTATCGGAAAATTTGTTGATAATTTCATCTGGTTTGTAAAACATGTACATGAGCCCTTCAATGTTAAAGTCGGTATTATCAATTCCTATTAAATTATTACCATTGATTAGTTCAATATCATTCTTTGGTAATTCTCCGAACATTTCACCGAGGATATTGTTCACTTCATTCTCGTCATTACAATGTTCAACTTCTTCAATTTCTTCAGAAGTGGTTTCAACAACATCTTCACTATCAACCCCGATTCTGTTCTCATCATCATCCATTGAATTATTTGTACTGTTAACCAAATAATCTGGCAAATTGGAACACTTTTTCAAAACATCAACAAATTGTCTGATATCTTCAGAAGATGAAATCGTGTTGAATCTGATATCAAAAGATTGAATAACAGTTTGTAATAAACACTGTAAAAGATCCAAGTCAACTTCAGTGTTTGGGGTGTTACAATTCGAGTCATTACCCAAGAAATACAAATCCGAATAATCACTTTTTCGCACATTATTTAAAACATTGATCAGATACATTCGGAATAATTGAACTCGCTCCCAAAATACAAATATAAATGATTTTTCTTCTTGGAATACAGTGCAAAGACTTTTCACAAGATACAGAACATCGTGCAAAGCTTTGAAATTCATAAGTGTTTTATCTTTATCCAATTCAAATGTTTCTATTATTGGGTAAAGATTTGTTTTTTTAACAAAGATCTTTTTCATGTATGCAATCATATCACTGTGTGCTTTTGGTTGTTGTTGATACAACAATATCAGACCATAATTTTCTTCGATATCTCTGATATGTTTTACAATTTCAAGCCATCGAGTCCTTGATGCCACACTAAGTGGAGGAGTTTCATACTCTCTAAACAAATAAAATCTTTTCAGAGTATCACTTTGACAGAAATAAGTAACAAAAGCAGTCATAATTGCAGTCTGATCCATTCGGTTGCTATCTTCCGCGATTAAATTTACTCTGTGTCCAAAACAACTAACACTTTTTAAAGTTCGAGACACTATGCTTCCTTCAATGGTTTTGAGTTTTGCTTTTTTGACCAAATTGTAAAATACAACAAATAGACCAACGTTTTTAGATGTATTAGAACTTGTTGAATCGAACACCAAAGAAATGATCAAGTGAATTGGAAATTCTATATTTAGTAATCTCGCGAATAACCAATTGGCCATAGCTACTCCACTTTTTAAATGATTGTATTTTTCTAGGAAAAGTGGACAACATTTAATCACCTCACCAGTTGAATAACGCATTAAAACACCCATAATATCTTGACCTTTTTAGACAAAGAATCAATTTCAATCGTTGCGCATATTCCTTTTCTGACTTCTTTGAGATCTCTTTCTCTGCGCATTTTGTTGTATTCATTCATTATTTTACGAACAGTAGAAGGACTTGTTGACACCTTTTCGAAATTATCAGGATTTATACAAAAAACCAATCTTTGATAATCCTTAAGAACATCTGCAACTCCGTTCATTTGAGACTCTGAATAATTCAGATCAATGAAAGTCGATGAAATCATAAAGGTTAATAACATCTTTTTCAATACATGGAGTGATGATTTTCTTTTTGGTTTGTTTTTTCCTTTTGCTGTTTTTCTTTCGTCTCTTAATTTTTCCATTGTTTCATATTTATTAAACAAATAATCACACAAAACGAAAAAGCGTTGTTTTGATGTACTTCCACTCTCTGCAACAAACTCTCTAATGTTGAAAAATAACAACTTTTTGTCCCATTTGTTTAAACTTTTCTTTGTGATTTCATTGAAGAAGTTGTTGTTGAATAAGTCGATTTTATTTTTTATTGTTTTTTCATCTTCTCTTTCCTCATTTTCATCATTTTCATTTTGATCAATATAATCATTATTTGTGTCTTCAAATTCGCTATCACTTTCTTCGTCTGAGTTTTGTTCTAATGACATATTTTCAGTGTCAGATGAAAGAGTTTGATTATCGTTGAAGTTGTTATAATCACTTTGTTGTAGTAAAGTATTTGTGATTGGGTTGTTTTCAATAGTTTTATTGAATGGTGTTTGTACTTGTTCTTGTACACTTTGTATGACTGATTGTCCGAAGATAACACTTTCATTTTGGATCTGGTGTTCTTGCATTGCTCGATTTCTAAGAGGGTTAAGAGTTTCGTAAGTAAATGGCAAATCTGGAACAGGAACGAAAGCAGGAGTGGTTAAGTTCCCACTCTTCTCCACTGCGTCATGCGGTCGGATACCCTTTAGATTCCCATTACTTTCTATTCCTCCACTCCTCTGTAACTCTTCTTCTTCGTTTTCTAACATCATTGTAGTTCTTCCAAATGTGTTACTGACATTGTTCTCAACACTGAAAAATGATGGAAGACATTGAACAGGAACAAAAGCGGAAGGTACTGCGTTTTGTATATTTGCATCTTCCATTTGCATTGATTGTTCACTTTGTTCAAATGTGCCATTTTTAATTGTTATTGTAAACGTATCAATAACTGTTGTTGTGTTTCTTCTTGGTCTTTTGGGGGGAGGTGGTGGGTGGTTTTTAAGTTTCAATTTTTTAACCAACTCATCTTTGTCTAATATACAACTAATTTTAACAAACGAATTTTGAACCGTTGTTTTATTTCCAGTAATTAAAAAAATTGAATATTGTTTTTTAATTAAATCCAAATTGGGATCATTATCGGCCAAATTTTCGGGAAATTTAAAGCTATGGGTCGAATAATGACGGTATAGCGAACCGTGTGCATACCATTTATTGTGGGTAAAACAATAAAACTTTGTTTCAAAACCATTTTCTTTTGCTTTTAAAAAAACCCTTCAAAACCAAAATTCACAAAATTCATATTTAACGTTGTTGTGTATAAGTTCCATTTTTTGTTTTTTGAGTTCTATTTTTTTTATTATTTTTAGGTTTTTTACGATTGTTTGTTATAGAACTTAAAATAATCTATTAATATACTACATACGCGATATTTACTATAATTTAACTATAATAATAATATAAAAGTATTAAATATTTTTATAATAGTTGTAATAAAAAACTTTAATAATACATAAAATTCATTAAGCTTTGACAATACAAGGTGAAAAAATATCGAGACATAGAATAGCAGCTAGAACCATAGCCGACAAGTGAGCCACTTGAATAACCTGATTAAGGCTTAAAGGACTTAGCAGATACAATGGAAAGCCTCATAATAAATACAGAGGACAAAGTTCACGACAACATGAATAGACTGTCTGACGCTGCTAAAGCCGCTTTACAGTTTGATGACATGTCGAATATTATTAGTATGGACGCGATCTTAGGTAAAATAAAAGACAACCTGACGTTGAAACAAACAACAATTTACAGTCTAAATTCTATAGTGTTGCCGATATGATTGAACAAAAACAGTCAAAGAGTCTTGAGTTTCATTTAAACACGACTTTAAAAACTCAACAAGTTGCAGAATTAGATGTTCTGATGATTTGAAGAGATAATAACTTTAAGAAGTTTGTTAAGAACGCAACAAATACACATATTCTTCGCATTATTTGGATGTGTGAAATCAGGCAGACATAAAAGTATCCGCTTTGATGTTATTCATATTCGAATTTTTAAGCTAAGACTGGTTTAATTTTATAGTTTTTTACTATTTTATTTGAATTGTCATAAATCATATTTTGAATAATCTTGTTATTATTAATCATTTCCCAAAAACGCATTTTGTATACTTTTTAAGTGTTAAAAATCCACATTTTTGGTAATAAAAATTCTTTTGAACATCTAAAGAATTAATTATAATAAATATTAATTATTTTAACTATATCAAGTCAGAATTATTTTAAGTAAACTATATAATAACTATTGAATTGCTAAACTTTATTCAAAATGTATCATAATAAACGATACAAATATCATTATAGCTGTTCGGCGACTTTACAGTTTCTTTAAAAATCGCCGTCTTTTTAGTGGTCTTAAAAGTCGCTGACCTAAATATTTAGTTAAATAACTATTCAAAATACCATTTATCATGTAAAAAATATTCAAAAAATAAACCATATAAATTTAATATAATTATTATTAAAAAATAAAATGAAACAATACTGTCCCAATTATATCTTCTCAAATTATTTTTTAAATTATATTTATATGATTATAATATAACAAATTATAACAACTATTGTGTTTTTACACATTTTTGAGACTATAATTAATATAATATAATTTATTAAAGTTAATAGTTATTAAGTTCTAAATAAAGTATTTTAGAACTAAAGAAGTCCCTTCAAAAGTCGGCGACTTTTAAAGGGACTCAAAAAGGCGCCGACTTCTCAGTAATATCATAAGTCGCCGAACAGCCATTAGAAAAATTGAATATAATCATCACCTGTTAGTCAATAAACACATAATTAAATCGTTAGAATCATACAAATGTTGGTATTCAAATAGTATAACATCATTACCACAATGATGACTTACAAAAATGCTTTTAATATAATTATATTTTTTGTTATTTACTTTGGTACTTGATAATTTCACTCTCCTTTACTAAGTATACACATGTATTTCAAATTCAACGTTTATAAGCTCATTAAGTATATTATTGATACGTATATCACAGTTTTATTGTCCTTAGCTAAACAAAATAAAACCCCATAATTTTCAATTATAGTAGTAATTAAATTGAAAAGTATTAAATAATTAGTGTTTGTAATTGAAATGTTCTTAAGGTGGGTTTGGTTTAAATCAATTTTCAATATAATAATAAACTTATTTTCTAAATTATAAATAATACCATTTAAATGTGATAAACAATAATTTGAATTAAAACTTAATAACACATATATAATAATAGTAGTATAAAAATGTATTAAAAATAATAACACATTAAATAAAAATAATACTAATATAAGATTCAAAATATGTACTAATAAATAGTTAGTTTTATTATTATCTTTTTTTAAATTAACACATTTTTATTTTTTTATATATTATAATAAATTAAATTATTATAATTAAATATATTATATTAATAACATTTTCGTTAATTAAATCAATCAATATTTCTTTATAAGTTTTTAAAATTTTATTTAATGATTAAAAAATATAAAAAATAATAGTTTTTTTGAATGTGATTTTTTGTTGATTCATTTAACTATTTATTAATAGTTGTTATTAATTTTTATATAGTTATTTTATTTGGATATATGTGTTATTAATATTCTTTTTTATTTTTAGATATTGTTGTACTATTATTTATTATATATTTAATTATTATTTTGAAAAAATTAAATTAAACTTTATATCATTATTATTAATACACTGAAAAGAAAGAAAACGTCAAAATTTCGATTTAACAGATAATTTTATTATTTTTAAGATTGAGGTTTTGTATATATTCAAGTTTCATCTAATAATATTTCCCGTTACTATACATCATAAATATCTGTTATAGTCGTATTTTTTGCCGTTTTGGTTTTATTTTTTAGATAATAGTGTATTATTACTGTTAAGAACCGGGGTTTTTAGTTGTAATATTTTTAATGTATTTTTTGTCATTTTAGTAAAAAGGCGTTTATGCCTGTTGGTTAAAACAATCAATAATATTAGTGTTATTTTGTTCATTTCGGATAACTTTTCATTTTTTATAGTTAAATAATACACTATGAAGACTTAAATGATCGGGAATTGAAAAAATAGTTCTAAATATAAAATGTATATGATTTATTTTTAAATCTGTATTTTTTGAACAATTCTAAAAAAATTTTGGTAAAAGTTATTTTCTAAAAAAAGTGTATTTTGTTGATTAAAGGTGCACTCGATAATCGAAAAAAACAGAAAAACAAAAATGAGACAAAAATTTTGTGAGTAAAAAACGCAAAAGCTACAGAGTATGCTGTAATATACTTGACTCAAATTATTTTTAACTGTTTTATTTTCTTCTTTATATTTTTTTATTATTTTATTAAACAAAGACAAAGCATCAAGCTCCAATTTCCACACGTCCTCTTGCTTTTGCTCGACGATTTTTTGTTTTGACATTTCTGCACTCGTTCAACATGTCTCGTAAAACCTTCAAATGGTGAGTACCGTCCGTTCGTTTTTTTCTTCCTTACTTTACTTCATTGTGTGATGATCTCATCCATCTTTGAGGTTTCAAGATTGGCGCCGAATGATCTAATAACGTACTTGAGCTGTTCTGCAGTGAGCATGTTGTCTCCATTTGTGTCGAAATAGTGGAAACACTCATGCAAATCCTTTTCGTCAATTGGTTTGAAGTTCTAAGAGATGATCTGCGGCTCTTGCTTTGGTTTCACTTCGCTTGTGTTTTTTCCGGGTTTTGCTGTTACGACATTTTCAATCTCAACGTTGAGAGGTTTCACCTTTCTGTGTTTTGGATTTTGAGAGGTCAAGATTAAATTCGTCTTTTTGGTGTGGAAACTGTTTCTTCAGTCTGCGAAGTATTTTCCGGTTTCTGTCTTTCTTTGATGGGTTCAACAACTGCTGGAGTGATTGGTTCTCCTTTTGTACTTGGAAGTTGTTGGGATATTTGAAATAATAATTGAATTTTTTTATATTATCATTAGTTTTAATGTGATTGTATTATATGTATTAATAATAAAAAACTACTATTTATAATACATTAAATAATTATTATTTATAATATAGTTGAAATAATATAATTTACTTAAATATGTGTGTTAATTTTAAATAAAAAAAAACTATTATTATAATACTTTTTTCAAATAATTTAGTAAACTATTATAATTATAATTTTAATTATAAACTATAAGTTAAATAAAAAAATGGTTTAAAATTATTGTAAAATAGTTTAAGATATTTGAAATAGACATTAAATAATAAAGTAACTATAATATGTATGATTTATCATAAAAATGACAATACCCGGAAAGACAAAGCATTTAAGCGCAAAAAATTTGGAGAAACAAAGAGATAATAAAAAAAGAAATTGTAAAAGACATTCAATGTCGTTGCCAGACTCACAATTCTCGCCCTTTATGATGGGCAGCACCACGGATTTCCGTCAACTGAGTCAGATTGGCACCTCGATATACGGTGACCGATTCTCAACCACAACGGAGTCTCAAGACAGACTAAACAACCCTAACGAGACACACCCAGAAATTGTGAACGTCGTTTCCACATTCCAACTCAACCAACAACTTGACCTCCGTAAAATCGTTCAAAAAGCGCGTAATGCCGAGTACAACCCAAAGCGTTTTGCTGGCGCAATAATGAGAATATCAAGTCCAAAATCAACAGCACTCATTTTCCAAACTGGAAAGATTGTGTGCACAGGAACTCGATCGATTGAGGAGAGCAAGATTGCTGCAAAAAAGTACGCAAAAATCATAAAGAAAATCGGGTACAATGAGGTCCGTTTCTCAAACTTCAACGTTCAGAACATCGTCGGGTCGTGCGACGTCAAATTCCAAATCTCGCTCCGTTCTTTGTATGACAGCAACACCGATATGTGTCAGTACGAACCAGAGGTATTCCCAGGTCTTGTTTTCAGAATGACGCAACCAAAAGTAACACTTCTTGTCTTCTCAACCGGAAAGGTTGTGTTGACTGGTGCTAAGGACGACGAAAGTCTGAACACGGCATACACCAAGATATACCCAATCCTCTTGGCAAACAAGAAAGAGGAAATAGGAAACCCATAATATACTATCTATAATTAATATTCCTTTTTGTTTCGAAACAAAAATAAGTTTTTCAGTTCATTTTTAGTGCATTATTAGTTCATCTCAACTTTACCATTTTTTTAGTTTACGAATGATTCTTTTTAATCTTCTTTTAATATTAAAATGGCTATAAAATATATTATAAAAAAAAACCATAATACATTTATAGTAAAATTCATGGTAAAAACACTTATATGAAGTAATGGGATATATCATCATTAATTTCTGGACTTGTTTTACCCTCTTTGTTTATTTGTTGTTGACTGCTTTGTTTTTTATGTTCTTTGTTTTCCACGTCAGTTGTTTCCTTTAATTTATGGATCGAATTGGTGTTATATCGATAATCTCAAAAGTGTTATTAACTTTTGTGGTGACTTTAAACTTATCATCTGCGGCAGTAAAATAACTCCATACCATCACAGTGCTAAGTACTCAGTCAAATAGAGTTTCTCGTCAACATTCATTGCGATGGTTTTCACCACTCCAGCACCACTTTTTATCGATGATGTAATGTTGCGTTTTATCAAATTCTACTGTTTTTGGAATGTAAAGGGGTGGAAAAAAAGCGCTACAAGAAAGAAAGCGATGTAAAGACCTGCAAAATATTTGCACTAACCACGTTGCATTTTTTATAATACAGTAAAAAGTGTTTATTTGTGGGTTTTTAAACAGAAAAAACGTATATTTGTGGGTTTATCATGGAATTGTGAAGTAAATTCTATTCACCATTTTTTCCATTAAAAACAGTGTTATAGAAAATATAGTAATTTTTTTGAATTATAATAAAACTATATTATTTATCTAAGTGGACCTAAATTCAAGGTTCTCGATCAAAATAATTATTTGTGGGTTTTACGTTTGATTGGTCTATTGACCCACAAATAGACGTAACCCACAAATATAAAAACCCACAAAAAGACACTTTTTACTGTAATAAACTTATAAAAAAAAGAGAAAATAATTTGTAAAAAGATTAAAATTCTTGGTTTGAAAATTCGAAAACAATAGGTATCTATTTTGATCAATAAAAAAGCAAATTTTAGTGTCAAACTATCTTTTTGACAATTCAAAGCCATATTTTTTTATTAAAGAAAAGTTCAAATAAATAATACATCAAACTGTTTTTTGACCAAACATTATTTTTAAATGAAAGATTTTTTGTTTTTTATGAATAAATGATAAAATTCGAAAGATGTGTATTTTTCGAAGACACATCTTTTTATTTTTTGAAAAATGTGGGTTTCATAATTTCGAACTCTGAAATCGAAAAATCGTGAAGACCAAAAACCAATTTAATATGAACTTTATAAGCAAATTCAATACCTAAACATTTTATATTTAATGCTCTAAATGCACAAACAAATCAAAATGTGTCATTTCAAAAGACACATCTTTTTTTATTTTTTATTTTTTATACTTTTTTTAGTTTTAAAAATGGGATCATTTTTTATTTAAGTTTAACATCTTAAATCTAAAAAACAGATGAAGTTCGGTGCAACAGAATATCCGCAAATAATGTCGCCCTTACAGACAGCGAAAAACTGTTTTGGACACAGCAAAGAACCAACTTTAATGAAAATGAAGTGGATGATTGTTGCGAAACGATTGTTTGTATGACGCTTCAAAGACCCGATCAAAGTTGTTCAGATCTAAACTGTATTCCAAAACTCTGTACCGTTTCCAAAATTTATAAAAACCCTTTGTCCTAATTTCCCATTATTTACTATTTTTTATTTGTTTTATTTTTTTCCTTTTTTGAACCAACAACGGTACACAATTTTAAACCCTCAAAAATCAATACAGTTTCAAATATTGTACAAAAATC